ATCCTATTGATCACTAGATTGTCTGGTCCAAAATTGATTATATACAGACCGCCGCCATAAAGGCTGGGATATTGCTGAATGCGGTGTTAAACAACCAAACAACCAACCTTTGGATTCATGGTGATTCCAGTTTTATCGGGATGTGCATGTACGTGTGTGGCTGATTGTACTAGCCCGGGCTATTGCACGTTATACTATGCTGGTCCACTGTGCTATGCCGCAGGTGAAACACTCATGCAGTCACAGAAAACTTACTCAGAGGCAATCAGTGAAAGGCAGGATAACAACATGTGCCATCATTTAACGTATGATCATACAGCAAAGACTCAACCGCCGACCTCCGCTCGACAGGGCAGAACCTCTGTCCACTTTACCATATGATGGTCCTCGAACACCTGCTAGTCTTCACTCCTTGAAGGGGCGGTGGGGTAGCCTAGCCTAGCGTCCGCTCGTCATGCTGAAGACCCGTGTTCCATTCCCCATGGGAACAATGTGTGAAGTCAAATTCCTGCTGTCACGCCTGAATATTGCTACAAGCGGCGTAAAACCATACTCACTCACTACATATCGTTAGTTGTCTGGTCCCTGTTTCACAACGCTCTCATTAGTGCCTAAGATCTCGTATCTTTTCTCGTAGCATTAGTACCTACAGTATAGGAGGCACGAATGCTACGAGAAAAGTTACGAGATCTTAGGCTTACGAGAGGTTTGTGAAACGGGGCCCTGGCATTTAACCTTAATATCCCCACGCAGTTGCCGAAGCCAGAGACCATATTCTCTGGTTAAAACAATAAGACTATTATCGTGTAAATGACGTAACACAGGTGGTAACTTCCAGTACACGTCACTGTTATCACAACATAATATTCAACAGGCAGTCCAAGCATTTTGGCCCAGTGAACTGTTCATTTCTGGAGTCATAGAATTTACGTATAATCTCTTGGTCCTTGTTCATGTGGACCTGTGTGGTTTGAGTGTGTTGTCTGACGACTCACTCCAGTTAGTCCAGTAGCTAAAAGCTATTTTCAGTTCTAATCTTGCATTTTAGGTCCCATAGTATTATGTTGTTGGTTTTATAAGTTTAATATAGGTAGATCATGAAACAGGTGGGATGCTGAGGGTTTTGCTTTAAGATGCACCCTTGGAATCTCAGGCGCCCGATCAGGACCATGTGGAGGCACAATAAGTTGTTGGGTAAGTAGCACAAAATGGAGTACTTAATGTGACGTCAGTTTACATTAGCTACTCAGCTATAGCATCATCTTCACAAATAATATGGGCACAATGCTAACTCATTTTTCTTGTCCAAGAGATTTATATCATGTACAACACAGAAATCCAAAGTAATTTTATGAAAGATATGTGGTAAAACATTTTCAGACAAAATGCAAACTGTCTAGTGAGCCGTTGTCTAAAGACAATCCAGTGATTGACATCATGAACTTCAATCTACGCAGTTGTGATGTATTGAGTAAATGTTTTACTTTGTCTTGTATTTGAGAAAAAATGTGTTTTAACTTCACGGTTTCGTGTTTCAAGTAAATGTTCGCCGAACAAATTTGATATTTTTGTGATGTGGGTTTAGTTTGATTGCTGTGATTCAGATTCAGATTCATTTTTATTCAGTATTTCGGGCCTAAAGGCCTATAGTACAAATACACTTGCTACAATTATATGCACGTGTTGGTTGTGGTGGCATTTCTTGCATTAAAGACATGTTTTAAATAAATTGCAATAGATTTGATAATATCAATATTTTTAGAATTTAACAGACTGGACAATGTTTGTTCATCTCTTACAGGTGTTTGTACAAATGATTAATACTTTGTTCTTAAATCTAAATATTTGGTACACAATAAATAATACATGAAATTCACTTTCAATATTACCTGTATTACAATTTTTACAGATGGATTCATTTACATCATTGAAAGCTCTATTGGGTTTGCGTAAATAGTGAATTCTAAAATCATGGAAGCCATACTTAGCGGCTCGACACAGATCGTCTGTTAAACGTTTTTCCAAATTGTCCTTTTCATAGCACATATTTTTCTAAATTGAGCCTTAGATTCCACATACTTATCTAGGTTTTTCTTACACTCACATCTTCGGAATAAATTCAAGCTTCTGTATTTCTCTTTTTAAGTTCTGCACATTCACTATCAAACCATAATGGTTGTTTTTCTAGTATTCTTCACATTCTGACACACATATCAATAAGAAAATCATTCAATTTTACTACAGCAAGATTTTCAATCAGTAACATAGCAAGAAAGTCGTCCAGTGCACTAGGTGATCGCAGAAGTTCTTTGTAAGTAGATGAAGCTGTTTCTGGTAACCTATGTCTGGGAACAATAGTTAGATTTATACTACTTTTGGGTGCTGAAGTGTCATTGAATACTGTCGACAGAGTACACAATACCGGCATATGGTCAGATTCAACACGGTCACATATTTTTAGATCCACAACCTTATGAAATAATTGACTAGAGACTAGGAAATAATCTACTATGCTTGTTCCCATATGAGAAATAAATGTGAGTTTACTGGGTGTGTCAGACTCAGTACGTCCATTTACTATATGTACATTAAATAATTTACATAGGTCATTTGTCAGGGTGTACATATACAAATCCAAGGAAAGTATGTTCAACAGTAGAATCATTGAGAACTTTTAGGAACACACAGTTTTGCCACTTGTCATAGACTCTTATACATGATGATGCTAACTGTTTTTTAACACACACAACAATACCACCTGAATGTCTACCATACTTTGATAGCTTAATAGGATCACAGATAAAACATTTATAATCAGTAAACAGTGCATGTATATCAATTGCATCAATACACCAAGTCTCGATGAGACAAAATATGTCAAATTGTTTACAAAAGGTTTGAAAGTCTGGGAATGTTAGCTTTGAAAGTAAACCATGAACGTTCCATGTACAAATTTGTGTAAATGTGTTCTGTCTGCACGATCCATCATGTTTTACAGAGTAGTTGGGGCCTTGGCCATAATCCTATGTTGGAGATTCTGCAGAGTTGTTAGCTGACGTTTTTCGGTTCTCCCAATGTTTACGCTGTCCAATTTGTTTAATGTCATTCTTGTTTTCTTCGTATATGTGACCAGGTCTTCAAAACAATAAAGTCGCTGGTATAGGGAGGACATTTTATTCTCCGTGGGGTAGTTAAATCCACAAAACATCACCCTGAAACATTTATCAATAATTCAATGGACAGCAAACAATCATTCTATAAGAATATTGTATATCACAAATAGGGTAACATTTCATTGGTTGCATTAATTAAATTAAAATCGTCATGTTACACAAATACACACGCACACCACGTTCCAAACATTCAAAACATTCACACAATGTACTAAGGAAAATACACCTTACCCATCTATGGAATGGAAAGGAGTTTACTATTCTACCCGTTTGGCACCTGCAAACAACATTTGCTAAGTTCACAAAAATTGCCAAGGCATACAAAAAGTGCACACTACAATTACATGTTATGCTAGAAATAATTTGCTAATTATTTATTTGTAATATTTTAAAAGTTTTACTCAAGCATAATATAACTGACAACCTCTAAAGTTAATGTGTTAAACAAAACAAGTATTCAACTAACCTTCTGTGGCAAGTAACAGTGCTGCTGCTGTGCTGTGCAATGCTGGATACTAAGTGCCATGTGCTTGGACACTCAGTGTATTTAATATGCCTAAAAAACTTGTACCCAATCAGAGGCTTAATCTCTGGTCACATTACACACAATATGAAATTGAGGCCAGAATGAACCACCTCACTTCCTTAGTGATGTAAATATTCCACAAAGGGGCATAATTCAGATGCACCTCAACCACATAGAATTTTATGAACAAACCCTCACCAAACCTTTTATCAGTTTTGGTAAATCTGATTTTAAACAACCACAATGTTTATTAAATAACCCTTCACCAATGAAAGCTTTTAAACATATTTTGGAGTTTAACAGTTTATACTTTTATTTGCATAATTTTATAATTACATAAAACACCTTCACCTGAACAATAAAATCTGATAAGTCTCAATTGACATCATATCCTGTTACATATACATATACTGCACCATCTATTATAAGTTTATCATAGTTCATATATGCAATACAGCCATCTTCTCTTGCAGTTTTCATGAACGGGAACAGTTTGGAGCGTATATTCCTCACCCTCTCCGTGAAATCCTCTCTGACACCCTGAATAGAGTATTACCTTTCAGGGTCTTCTTTGGCGGTCTCGAGGATTTTACTCCTCTCCTTGAACAGAGTGAATCTCACAATCACCGGTCGCTTCCCAGTCTTCGAGTGAAGCCTGTGGGCTCGTTCTATTCCAACGGTATCGGCTGATTTATATGAAAGCTCATCTTGAAGAAATTGTCGAACTTTAACTTCTGTTTCATCCCAAGTTTCCACCTCTTTTTATCGTCTAGTCCATGTATTAATAAATTGTTGCGTCTTGACTGTGCCTCCATGTTGTCCACCTTTTTGTCCATAGCCTGTATCTGTGTCTTGAGATTTGCGTTCTCATCTTCGAGCGACGACAGTTTGTTATTGTAGTCAATTGTAAACAACTCCAACTTCCGGTCAAGGGAGGTAAGTTGCGCCTGGATAGCCGACAGCGTTTTAGCGAGGTCGCCGAGTGTTAGTGCATCATCAGTTACCACCTCTCCTGGTATATTTTTCGTCGACAGCCGTGTTTGGATCTGAGTAGAGTCTGTGGCCTTTTTAGGCGGACCTGGATTTGTTTCAACATCTCCTGCTATCGCCAGCAACGTAAAAGACAGAATAGCGAGTCTCAGGCAAAGACGTATACCCACCCGGCGTCCTTATAACGCGGTTTAACAGGGTGCCCCGTCTCATTCGGGGAGAGAATGTTCCACTCTCGCTCTCCATGTTTCAATGGATATAGACATGGTGCTCCCAGGAAGTACACTACCTTATGCACAACAGGGATTTGGTTTTCGAATAGAGTGCTACTTAGTTCACCTCGTTTTCAGCATTTAATCCGAGAGCGATTTCATGCGTGCCGCCATCATTGTCACGTGACCGCGAGTTTGATTGCTGTGTTAGTGTCGAGGCAGGTTAAACCTATGGTTGATAAAATGATCACGTCCCACGCGCTCTGAGCACAATCACACACAATTACCATCGCGACAAAACCTTGACATGAATCACCATTATAGTCGATACTTATAAGACAAGCACGAGTTACAGCAGCATCTGGGGCTCCTTTCACAAAGCAACCTTTACTAAGGTTAACCTTAACTCCCATTCTTTAATACTGCACTAAGCTTACCCTAGTGACTTAAGATCACATTAGTGCTTTGTGAAAGGAGGCCTTGCTCTAACTCGACATTTGGGACGGTGGGGTAGCCTAGTGGATAAAGAGTTCGCTCGTCACGCCGAAAACCAGGGGTTCGATTCCCCATAGGACACAATGTGTGTGAAACCCATTTATGCTGTCCGCTGCCGTAATAGAGCTGGAATATTGGTAAAAGCGGCGTAAAACATATTCGCTCACTCACACATGGTCTAAAATGTACTGAACTGAACTGTACTGAGTGTTTTATTCTTACTGCGCTAAACAACATAACACGTTGCAGCAGAGATTTCTGCAGTCACCAGAGTCAGCACATGATAGCACTGAGGAAATGCCCAATCCCTTACATCAGTGTCAACCAAATATGTCCTTGTGGAGCTGTTCATCTGTGCCCTTTATATTTTCACAAATAGCTGTCATGGTAACACCCTGTTCTACACGAAGTGTAGGGTCTATATAGGTATATTCAATGGGATTTCGGGGTATCCTGCTCGTAACATGGTGACTACACGGACTTCACCATTGTGCACGATAACACCTGGTGACCCTGACCCTCCATGACTGAAGGAGCAGTGGAACTGAAGAAAGGAAGGGTCTTTTCAAAACTGTCATAGACTTCCAGACGTTCAGACGGGATTCCATTATTCCCCAATTCTTGTTTCATCCTGTAAAGTCCGTCCTCTTCGTGACGGTGCAGCAGTTGTGTTCTATGTACAGCTCCTTATACCCTAGATGGCCTATTAAGCTGAACCTGCCTTCATAGTCGCTGTAGAAACGTGTTAATGCTTGTGGAAATGGGTTGTTATCCCGAGGTGCTAGTTCTACCACAGCCGTATCCAAATTTATATCAACATATCGCAAAGTCGTGAGGATGAAGTCACACTCTCGCCCATGGGTGAAATGTGCACGAACTTCAGTTGAACCTAAATTTTTGAACACACCATTTGAAACGTTGTAACTGTTCGGCAGGATCCGCGTCCCATATCCTTTGCATCTCTTCCTGTGGTATTCCTGCTGAAGTAAGAAAATGGGCATTACATTAAGTAAATACTCCTCCATCAATCATGCATATATTAAAAATATAAATGAAATGACTATTCTTGTTGTCATATTAGGTCAGCAGTTGATATTTACATCTTTTTATCCTGTGTATAATAGTTAGCTAAAGGTTGTGGTAATTCGGTGTTCACTCTTGATTAATCAGCGTATTCATTCAAGAAGACTGTAATATGGTAAACATTCTATATGTCTGTATATTAGTTTCTTACCAAGAGCCTCTTTAAGGACATGCGCAGCTGTCATAATGCATCTATCACCCACTCTGAAGCCCGTTCCATTGGTGGCAATTAAGCGAAAACAGATGCAGCAGCTCAGGTTGAGCAGATCCATATCACTGGCTTTTTCGACATCTATACCTTGGTTGGCTTTTGCCAAGAGAACCTGGAACAATAAAGTTGATATTAAACTATAATAGGAAATTATAAGTTACAGGGGCACTGAAATCAAACTTAATCTAATCAAGCTCATTGAAGGAAGAAGAAGAGCTGATATGATCAATTCGACTGGCTGAATATTTCATTTTTCAAGATGTACCCAAAGGTGGTTTTACCGTGAAATGGATCTTTAGTTGTGGCTTTCTTTCCATCAGAACCAGCAGGTGCTTCTCCACCAGAATTGGGCGTTGCGCGGCATGTTCCTGCAGACGTGAGTGAGTGAGTTTAGTTTTACGTCAAATTTAGCAATATTCCAGCAATATCACGGCAGGGGACACCAGAAACAGGCCTTACACATTGTACCCGCGTGGGGAATTGAACCCGGGTCTTTGGCGCGACCAGAGAACACTTAACCGCTAGGGTTACCTGAACCGCCCACAGAAAGAACGGTTTTACTACTCTTGCTAGTTGAGATCTTTATATCCTACATTCCATACCATTTAGTAGTGTCTGTGTTATTGCCGAGAGGGAAGCTCTCGCGATTGCAAACACCAGTTATTTCGCACGATTGTTTTGATTGCTGGATGGAAGAATTAATCCCTGATGGAGGTAGGAGTCGGCAATAGATTCAACACTGATTCAGATTCACTGTACGCTAAACATGTAAGATTTCATTATAACAGATACTTACAGAGTCCTGGCGAACGTCCTGTACAGATCTTCTAGAGGCACCTGCAGAAGCTGAAAACACAGAATGTAACATATGTGCGTGTTTGATATAGTGAAAATGAATAAATGGATGCATGGCCACAAATTTATGTCACAGATTACAAGCTAGGTAATAGGAAACAGGAAATGTGTTTATATTTCATGATGATTTTAACATTTTCATATTTTACATTAGATAACTTAAAGACAAGGGACTCAGAAGTATAAGACACCATAGCCTTATGTCTCATACACACTTTTCTGGGGATAGCCTCGTTGCGGTAGTACAGTGGATAAAGCTTTTCTTAAAGGCAGCGTTTATTGGAATCTCCGAATGAATGACTAGGCGGAAAGCCATGCTCTCGTCCTCTTAGAGTTGTCTCATTTTATCAAGGCAGTCCCTTGTAAAGTTTGTCTAGTCAAGATGTCTCACATTAAAGAAAGTTAGATATTATCTGGCCAAAGTAATTACAATTGGACAAACAAAGCCAATATAAGCGATCGATATTGATTCCAGCATTCTGCCTTTGGAACTTTGTCATTGGAGATTAAAGGACTCACATTAAAACCAGCAGGGTTTAACTTGTAACTATGGCAACTGTGAACAGGCCAACAGAGACATGTCTTAAACAGCTATTTGTACAGTCCACACAGAACAGCTTTGAATTGTCCTTGTAAACTAACGGTAATGTGTAAATAACGATTATACTTAATAATTAATTTATTAAAAGTGGTTGCTTGGTTTGTTGTGTAATGCCGCAATCGAGTCTGGACCAGAAAATACAGTGATCAACAGTTTGAGCATCGACCTACGCAACAGGTAAACAATGGCATGTGTCGACCAAGTCAGCGAGCCTGACCACCCGATCCCGTTAGTCGCCTCTTACGACAAGCATGGGTTACTGGAGACAAATTCTTGCCCGGATCCTCAAGGGTTTCATCCCATATGAAGACTGACACAAAGGGTTTACAGAATCACGACTTATTGAAAACATATTTGAAGTCTTACCTGCGCTGAATGTTAGAAACTATAACAATATACGTACCCTTGTAGTCAGGAAGGTCTTGCAGGAGATCATTCCGTCCAATCTGAGTCAGACAACTCTTCAGTTTGTCAATAATATTATCAGGCATGACCTGTTCCAGAATGGTCAACAAATCAAAAGCATTTCTGATTGTTTCCAGCTTTTTTTTCCCTATTATGTCTTTAAAATAGAACTTGGCCTGTTTAACTTCATCTGATGTCAGATCCCGTGCTATCCCAAATAAGACCAGTCTGAAAAACAACAACACATAATATATACATACTACATGGTCTCTCTTCTTCCCTGATCACCTATCTTTCCTTCTCCACAACACGCCTTTATCTCTTCCCGCTTCCCTTGACTCCCTCAATGCATTATTGATTCCTATTGGTAATACTATATCCATACAGTGATTCTTCTTGGGGCTACATTATACAGTGATTCCTCTAGGGCTACATTATACAGTGATTCCTCTTGGGCTACATAATACAGTGATTCCTCTTGGGCTACATAATACAGTGATTCCTCTTTTGGGCTACATTATACAGTGATTCCTCTAGGGCTACATTATACAGTGATTCCTCTTGGGCTACATTATACAGTGATTCCTCTTGGGGCTACATTATACAGTGATTCCTCTTGGGCTACATTATACAGTGATTCCTCTTGGGCTACATTATACAGTGATTCCTCTTGGGCTACATATAACAGTGATTCCTCAGTGACAGTGATTCTCTTGGGCTACATTATACAGTGATTCCTCTTGGGCTACATTATACAGTGATTCCTCTTGGGCTACATTATACAGTGATTCCTCTTGGGCTACATTATACAGTGATTCCTCTTGGGGGCTACATTATACAGTGATTCCTCTTGGGATTCCTACATTATACAGTGATTCCTCTTGGGCTACATTATACAGTGATTCCTCTTGGGCTACATTATACAGTGATTCCTCTAGGGGCTACATTATACAGTGATTCCTCTTGGGCTACATTATACAGTGATTCCTCCTTTGGATACATTATACAGTGATTCCTCTTGGACTACATTATACAGTGATTCCTCTTGGGACTACATTATATTACAGTGATTCCTCTTGGGGGCTACATTATACAGTGATTTCCTCTAGGGCTACATTAACTACAGTGATTCCTCTCTTGGGCTACATTATACAGTGATTCCTCTGATTACATTATACAGTGATTCTACATTACATTATACAGTGATTCCTCTTGGGCTACATTATACAGTGATTCCTCTAGGGCTACATTATACAGTGATTCCTCTTGGACTACACATTATACAGTGATTCCTCTTGGGCTACATTATACAGTGATTCCTCTTGGGACTACATTATACAGTGATTCCTCTTGGACTACATTATACAGTGATTCCTCTTGGGCTACATTATACAGTGATTCCTCTAGACTTACATTATACAGTGATTCCTCTAGGGCTACATTATACAGTGATTCCTCTAGGGATACACATATATACAGTGATTCCTCTTGGGCTACATAATACAGTGATTCCTCTGGGGCTACATTATACAGTGATTCCTCTAGGGCTACATTATACAGTGATTCCTCTAGGGCTACATTATACAGTGATTCCTCTAGGGCTACATAATACAGTGATTCCTCTAGGGCTACATTATACAGTGATTCCTCTTGGGCTACATTATACAGTGATTCCTCTTGGGCTACATTATACAGTGATTCCTCTTGACTACATTATACAGTGATTCCTCTTGGACTACATACAGTGATTCCTCTTGGGCTACATTATACAGTGATTCCTCTTGGACTACATTATACAGTGATTCCTCTTGGACTACATTATACAGTGATTCCTCTTGGACTACATTATACAGTGATTCCTCTTGGAGATACATTATACAGTGATTCCTCTTGGGATACATTATACAGTGATTCCTCTTGGACTACATTATACAGTGATTCCTCTAGGGATACATTATACAGTGATTCCTCTTGGACTACATTATACAGTGATTCCTCTAGGGATACATTATACAGTGATTCCTCTAGGGCTACATTATACAGTGATTCCTCTAGGATACATACAGTATTCCTCTTGGGATACATTAGTGATTCCTCTAGGGACTACATTATACAGTGATTCCTCTAGGGACTACATGATTCCTACAGTGATTCCTCTTGACTACATTATACAGTGATTCCTCTAGGGCTACATTATACAGTGATTCCTCTTACATTATACAGTGATTCCTCTTGGACTACATTATACAGTGATTCCTCTTGGGCTACATTATACAGTGATTCCTCTAGGACTACATTATACAGTGATTCCTCTTGGGCTACATTATACAGTGATTCCTCTTAGACTACATTATACAGTGATTCCTCTTGGGATACATTATACAGTGATTCCTCTCTGGAGATACATTATACAGTGATTCCTCTTGAGATACACTACATTATACAGTGATTCCTCTTGGGCTACATTATACAGTGATTCCTCTTGGAGATACATTATACAGTGATTCCTCTTGGGATACATTATACAGTGATTCCTCTTGGGATACATTATACAGTGATTCCTCTAGGGATACATTATACAGTGATTCCTCTAGAGATACATAATACAGTGATTCCTCTTGGGATGCATTATACAGTGATTCCTCTTGAGATACATTATACAGTGATTCCTCTAGGGATACACAATACAGTGATTCCTCTTGGGATACATTATACAGTGATTCCTCTAGGGACACATTATATACAGTGAGTCCTCTAGGGATATACATTATACAGTGATTCCTCTAGGGACTACATTATACAGTGATTCCTCTTGGGATATACATTATACAGTGATTCCTCTAGGGACTACATTATACAGTGATTCCTCTAGGGACTACATTATACAGTGATTCCTCTAGGGATACATTATACAGTGATTCCTCTAGTGATTCCTCTCTTGGATAATACAGTGATTCCTCTAGGATACATTATACAGTGATTCCTCTTGGGATATACATTATACAGTGATTCCTCTAGGGATACACAATACAGTGATTCCTCTAGGATACACACAATACAGTGATTCCTCTAGAGATGATATACAGTGATTCCTCTTGGAGATACATTATACAGTGATTCCTCTAGTGATACATTATACAGTGATTCCTCTAGAGATACATTATACAGTGATTCCTCTAGAGATACATTATACAGTGATTCCTCTAGGGATACATTATACAGTGATTCCTCTAGGACTTACATTATACAGTGATTCCTCTAGAGATACATTATACAGTGATTCCTCTAGAGATACATGAATACAGTGATTCCTCTAGGGATACACAATACAGTGATTCCTCTAGAGATACATTATACAGTGATTCCTCTAGGGATACACATATACAGTGATTCCTCTAGGATACACATTATACAGTGATTCCTCTAGGACTACATTCCTCTATACAGTGATTCCTCTAGGACTACACAATACAGTGATTCCTCTTGGATACATTATACAGTGATTCCTCTTTGAGATACATTATACAGTGATTCCTCTCTGGGATACATTATACAGTGATTCCTCTAGGGATACATTATACAGTGATTCCTCTTGGAGATACATTATACAGTGATTCCTCTTGGGATACATTATACAGTGATTCCTCTAGGGATACATTATACAGTGATTCCTCTAGGGCTACATTATAGTGATTCCTCTATACAGTGATTCCTCTAGGGATACACATATACAGTGATTCCTCTTAGGATACACAATACAGTGATTCCTCTTGGGATACATTATACAGTGATTCCTCTAGTGGACTACATTATACAGTGATTCCTCTAGAGGCTACATTATACAGTGATTCCTCTTGATACACTAGTGATTCCTCTATACAGTGATTTCCTCTAGGGATACATAATACAGTGATTCCTCTAGGACTACACAATACAGTGATTTCCTCTAGAGACTACATTATACAGTGATTCCTCTAGGACTACATTATACAGTGATTCCTCTAGAGATACATTATACAGTGATTCCTCTAGAGATACACAATACAGTGATTCCTCTAGAGATACATTATACAGTGATTCCTCTTGGGATACATTATACAGTGATTCCTCTAGGGATACATAATACAGTGATTCCTCTAGAGATACATAATACAGTGATTCCTCTAGGACTACATTATACAGTGATTCCTCTAGAGATACATTATACAGTGATTCCTCTAGAGATACATTATACAGTGATTCCTCTAGGGATACATTATACAGTGATTCCTCTAGAGATACACAATACAGTGATTCCTCTAGATACATTATACAGTGATTCTCTTCTAGATACATTATACAGTGATTCCTCTAGGACTACATTATACAGTGATTCCTCTAGAGATACACACATACAGTGATTCCTCTAGAGATACACAATACAGTGATTCCTCTAGAGATACATTATACAGTGATTCCTCTAGGGATACACAATACAGTGATTCCTCTTGGGATACACAATACAGTGATTCCTCTACATTATACAGTGATTCCTCTAGAGATACATTATACAGTGATTCCTCTTGGACTACATTATACAGTGATTCCTCTTGAGATACATAATACAGTGATTCCTCTAGGATACATAATACAGTGATTCCTCTTGGAGATACACATATACAGTGATTCCTCTAGAGATACATTATACAGTGATTCCTCTAGGGATACATAATACAGTGATTCCTCTAGAGATACACAATACAGTGATTCCTCTAGAGATACATTATACAGTGATTCCTCTAGAGATACATTATACAGTGATTCCTCTAGAGATACATTATACAGTGATTCCTCTAGAGATACATTATACAGTGATTCCTCTAGAGATACATACAGTGATACAGTGATTCCTCTAGAGATACATTATACAGTGATTCCTCTAGAGATACATTATACAGTGATTCCTCTAGAGATACATTATACAGTGATTCCTCTAGGGATACATTATACAGTGATTCCTCTAGAGGATACATTATACAGTGATTCCTCTAGAGATACACAATACAGTGATTCCTCTAGGGATACATTATACAGTGATTCCTCTAGAGATACACAATACAGTGATTCCTCTAGGATACACAATACAGTGATTCCTCTAGAGATACACAATACAGTGATTCCTCTAGATACTACATAATACAGTGATTCCAGTGATTCCTCTACAGGATTCCTACATTACACAGTGATTCCTCTAGAGATACACAATACAGTGATTCCTCTAGTGATACACAATACAGTGATTCCTCTAGAGATACATTATACAGTGATTCCTCTAGAGATACACACATACAGTGATTCCTCTAGAGATACACATAATACAGTGATTCCTCT